GACAAACACATTCGACAATGCGTTGCAAAAGAATGGTAATTAAGTAGAATCGATAGAAATCTGTTTTGTAAATGTATATACAAGTATATGAATTTAGAACACTATATAATAGAATCCCCCTGTATAATAGAATAAAATATACACAGTATAAAATATACATGGTATAATAAAATATACATAGTATATTATGCGGATGTTTTTCGCGAAGATTTCTTTGTAAAAGAAATTTAAATATGAAAAAGCAATTATCTATCGAATCTAATTGATCGACTCATCTTTTGCAGAATGAATAGGAATGTCTGAGCGGTGAAGCATTACAATTAAATGGAAGATACTCTCAGAAATACAATTCGATATGTAAAAAGGCGTAAGTACTAAATAATAGCACCAGATTGGATTTGAAGATTAAGTATGAAATAGAAGAAACAGCACGTTCTCTGTTAACAACCACGAGCAACTGAAATCAGTTAAAAAGTCGGTGTCGCTAAAATTCGGCGTAATGGATGTTAATGAAAATATTTTGTACAATCTTAAAAATATAAGCAATCTGTCGGTTCGTCTCACAATTCTCGCGGACGTCCATAAAGATGCAAAGTATATCCGATAAGATGCTTCAGGAGATGTAATTAGGAATTGTCGACAATAGGAACCACGAGTGAATAATAACGCTATAATATTATAACGTTACAGGCAGATCGGGTGGCGAAGAAACAAGAAAACCTCCCGACGATCTGTTCGGAACTGCCTGACCGTTTCACGGTTCCCATTAACGTCAGGCCAGTTCTGATCGTGGTATGCTAAGTTTTGTTCCTCTGCGTCGATACAATAGCCCTAGCTACGAATAAACACTGTAGCTAATATGTTACATTATAACAGTAGCTATAATATAGAATTACATGTTAATTATATCATAGCTAAAGATATAATGTTACAATTATAATGTAATTTAGCTATATTATAGCTAGGGCCATAATATAAGTACGTAATAGCTATGTTACAGTTAGGATTAAAATATAGAGTATTTTATAGCCGTATCATAGCAACGACTGTAACGTAGTATCTATTACGACTACATTATAACTAGGGCTATAATTTCAAAGGGAGCGACTAATAAAAGTTAGTCAATCAAGGCTGTCGACGCAATTAACCTTTTGTCATCCTCTTAGAACCGATATATCGTCATTTAATTGAAAATTACGCAATACAGACGTAATTTTTTCTAAGCGTCAAAAAAGAGGGTACAGAGAGTAACAGCACAGGCACAGTGTAAAGAGACTTTTAAGATAAAGCATTACTTTCGACATCCCAAAATACCGCGTTGCATTTTGAGATTAATGTTGCGCACTGATCCCTGAAAATTTAAAGCTACCATCGAAAACGAATCGTAATTTGCTTAGCTCCGGGAAATATTAGATAAGTATATCAATATTTATATACTTGCGGCGTTTACACCAGTCGCACTTTGAACAGTGGATTTGGCCCCTTTCTTTGGAAGAAGAAAACTGGCTTGATCGTCGAAAAACTAGCGTCGGCGCATCCCATACGTTCGTCATCAAAGCGCAAATTCCGTTCATCGCAATCGCGCGTGAGTAGCATCGTCGAGGACAGCGCGAATGTTCGCAAACGTATGATTGGTCACCGCACTATCGCTCCACTCTAGAGATGCGAAAAGGAAGAATGACGAGAATTAATGCAGCACATCTTTTCGACATGTGCACAGAGCGGCAAATAGTTGAAGGAAAAACGAATTAGAACGTTCGGTAAATCGGGCAACAAATCAACTAAGCGAGTCTTCCCTTCCACGTTCTCGGACGGGATTCTTCCACGCATGAGCTAACAATTCAACGCGAAACTTATCTATCATTTCGCGCATCCTAAAGTATTATCTATTCTCGCACACGGATATAAGGGATAAAAATATGCAAGAGCTACTTAGTCGCTACGCGACTCGAAACAAACTCAAATACGTTCATTATCCATGGTCACGTATCCGAGAAGAGAAACTCGCTCTCGGACAGCAAAACTTCCAAATCGGATGGTACGGTGTGCAAGTCGGAGTTGGCCGGTTCCGGCAGATCGCCACCACTGTTTCCGATGCCGGTAGGGGCTATCTGTCGTGCTCTGCCTATTCTGACTCGGTCCTTCCTCTTGGCTGTTCGCAGCAACACTCCAGTTCTCGGTAGCTTCGCCGTTCTGCTATTCGCGTTCGTATGATTCACGGCCGTGGCCGGTGCTTGCGCCACCTTGTCGGACTTGCGCAGCTTCACGCTGAACCTAAATGGCGGCTTATATACCACCTGAAGCCTCGCCCGTTCCTTCCTGGCAAGGGAATTCGACGAGTTCTTTAGTTCCGCTCTTCCAGTCTCCGCTCCAGGACGTCGCGCGGACGTTAATGCCTGTCTTGACACTAGCATTCTGGACCCCACCACCCCTCCACTGGCTGTTAGACCCACCGGGGTCGATTTACTTTTCGGCATACCGTTGACATTGGTCCGTGCACCGGTTTCCGGTCGACATTGCGAAGATGCCAATAACCAAGAACGCACTTTACTCTTAGGATCGGCGTTCGTTTCCGGTTCCTTATCCGCTTGAATTGCCGAGTAATCAATTACCTCCTTTCTATGTTGCTTTTTACGCTTCCTCTTATCGTTATCACCGCTGCTTCCGCCGCCTGGATTATTGCTAGTACCTTGTCCTTTATCTCTAACAGATGTAATCTTCTTCCGTTTATTCTCCTGCGTTACAGCAGCCAAAACTTCAGCCGGTCTCTTTCGCGCAAAATCGTCGACCTGTCCGGTAGACAATCTCTTTTGTTGGTTTTGTTTCTTTTTGGCGTCCTTTAAATACAAACGAAAAATTTATTTTAAGTATTTAAACTCGAAAATATAAATATTAAATTAATACTTAATATCATATTAATACTTAAATGATTAAAAAATAGTTTATTTTCTAATTCTTTTTAAATTAATTTTACCTTATTATTAGACTTGTCGGTGTGGCCACTATCTTTATGTTTGCGATGACACCTCTTCTCTCTGACCTTTCTGCTAAGAGGAAGTTTGGCACGTACCGCCGGTGGATGCACCGTTACTCCTTCCGTACCTTCCGGCGGAAGCCGTACCGTTTCCGTCGTAGAACTATGGATAATCGTGACAGACTTTAGCTTCAAGTCCGGTCGCTTGCCCAGTAATCTCATGCTTGCCACCTAAAAGAAGAAAAAAAATCTTTATATGCTCGTAAATGAATTTTCATTTAATTAATTCATCAATAATTAATAATAATTTATAAATATGAATCAATAAGATACTATTATCGTATATAAATAAATATGTTTCTTTACATATTTATACGCGTACTATTTAATAATAAAAACTATATAATTTACAAAGGAAATTCAAATTATTATTTTATGCAAAGCTTTAATTAAAGATTATAATATCTAGCAACTACAAGAATGTTTGCTTCTACGCAATACTTTAATCAAATGTAGGTATGTAGAGAAAGGCATAATAATATAATGTTAGAATTTTTGTAAAAAGCAATTAATTCTCAATTTTGTAACAAAAACACACGCATTATTATATATTATTAGTAATGACCTACTTTTTATATATCCCTACACTTACTCTCATTGCATTTTTCTCTTTTCCTTAGCCGTTTCTGATAATAAACATTTTTAATATATATAAATATGTGAACTGACTGTTTTCTTGCGCTTATTTTTACAAAAACACGTTTATTTTACAGATAACAATCTCATCGAACTATTTATTGATTAAAAATAATAAATTATTAAACAACAAGAAAAATTAGAAATCTAAATTTTAATTTTAAAAATAAATAATTTTTGAATACATTATTTTTAGAGAAAATCTAATTTTTTATACGTACCAGTAACGATATCGCCGCTAAAATTATCAGAGCGGCTGCATACCAATGTTCAGCGACCCACCGTCTAAAAGTGGCGAGGCTCTCGTCGGATAATAAGAGCTTCCTTAAAGTTGCTAATGGACCGCTTGGATCGACCTGAATAAAATATTTTAATTAGCGTTACTATCTACTACTCGCACTACCCTCCATATTCAAGTTCTACTTACCTCGCGACATTTTTGAAAGACATCACAGTAACCGTTATAATCATTACACGGAGTTCCTGGCTTTGAGAACATATCGGGAATATCATACGGTGGAGAATTCCAATCGAAAGACGATCTACGAAAAAAAAAAGATTGAATTTAATAAATTTTTACGCAAATCGATCGATAAAATAATACAAGTTAAATGTACAAGCATGGTTGATTTTCCCCGGGAAGTCGACAACATAACTCGCAAGCCTTCGTCGGTGGATCGTTCGGGCCTGGTATGCATTGGCAAGATTCCAGTCCGTATGCTAGGCAAATGCTGCCAGTGCACTCCTGTTGAAACACAAGTTTCGCGCATGAGATCATATTTGTTCATTTAATGAGAAAGTACGTGTGTAGTTTTTAATGGGATTAATATTTACCCCCATGAAGCAAACCAGCTCACGGTTACAGATGGTCTTATTAGGCTTGTTAATAGATGGTGGACAGTACGGAGAACGACCGTCACAGAAGCTCGCATCGCGACAGCCGTTGTCATCTCTGCACTTGTCTCCGAAACGGAGATTACATTCGCTGGTACAGCACGGACCCTGAAAAGAAAAGCAAATAGAGCCGTTGAAATTACATCACGTCATACGCACGATGCGCCGCGTAATTACGTTATGTATGTCTGTGAGTAAATTACCTAAAGTAAATTTCATAGGATACTGCTTAAATTAATTAACATTTTTCGGCAAAATAAATGAACAACGAGCGATGAATATATACGAGCGAATCTCAATATCTTTTACATGAAATACTACATGTCAATTATTAAATACATTACTTGTCGCATTATAAATACGCCCAATTTTGTGTAACAGAAATTTTATTAAATATTAAAGATATAATAGCTTCATAAAAAATTGATTAAAATATGACTACATTTATATATGCATTCCGCTATTTGAATATTTAAACAATTGAATGAACCTTTAAATATACAACTGGACAAGCAAACGTTTGAAAAATTTAGACGCTTGAACACTTAGCATTTAATATTAAAGATTGAAAAAGCGCAAGCGCGGCTTTGAGTTAAATTTTGAGAAGGGAAAGCCGTCCTAAAATTCCCTCGACAGTACAGTCCAACTCGCATTTTTTACAAGCGTCATACATACTTGACTAGGACTGCACACCGCACGCGGTGTGAGAGTGCACGGAGTCTCCTCGGGCGGCGGATAACGGCGCTGGGGATAGCAGCACGAGTCCCTGCAATCCTCCTCCCAGCCGCAATCGCACTCCTCGCCCTCCTCCACCACGCCGTTGCCGCACAACGATACTTGCGGTTCTACAATAAACAATGCAGAGTACCGTCAGGGTTAGAGCAAACGAGAGTAGAATAATTGGACAAGCAGATAGGAGCTGGTTCGATCAATTTCGTCTCTACGACATCACGATATATTGCGTTCACCATTGCTCCCACTGTATAAAACTCACCGGTGAAGCATCCCTTTGGAGAACGTGCCTTGCTGTTGAGCACAGGATTTATGGCATTCAGGCTACATGGACTGAAGCGATTGTTGTTACGCTTGTCCCCGCTGGTAGCACGAGCGAACATTATAAAGTTGCCATCCTCCCCGCCTGGTGTACATTGTTCCGGATCGTGCTGAACGCAAAAGAACAATGAGATGTACGACATGCGCATCATTCGTTTATTGACGGGACAACATTGTATAACAAGACCACGGAATGTGGAACACGCCGTTCTGAACGTAACTAACGGAAGTGTACGTACCGGTGAGCCGAAGTTGTGGCCGATCTCGTGAGCCAAAGTAACGTGAGAGACCGCAGGCGGTACGTGCTTCCCGTAATTTAATAGGGTCACTATGCCGGTGTTTAATGACTTCATGCTGCCGCGATAATGCTGTAACATTATTTCAATAATTATTTTTCGTCAAACTTCATATTCGCAACAATTTACGTTCCAACGGTCACGAAAAAAATCGTGCAACAAGAAATCAATTTTCATTGGAGTAGATCAGCTGATCACCATGAGTGAGATATGCTTTGGATATATAATGTTAAAAGTACAAAGATAAATAAATTGTTGTAATTTTTTTAAAAGTCTAATTTAATATAGTTAATTCTCTTTAAAATTTAGAGTTGTTATCATACTATTTATATATTTATAAAAAATATAATCAACTTTTCTTTTATAAAGGTCTACTAATATATTTCGCTACACATACCCCGTTCTTCTCACATACGCCGCCAGCATTCTTGAGATCGCCTGTCCATGCCAAACCCAGAGTTCCCATCTCGAAATCCCGATACGTGAACATATAAGCCAGACAGAATGCGTCATAATCCTCCTCTATAACAAGGCAAACATCAATGTATTAGTACAGTACAATCCCCTCGTTCGCGTATATTGACGTATCGACATTACACCGTATTGCGGGTTATTAACAAAGAACGGCAACGCCTTTGGTCTTTACCTGAAAAGAGCTCTAAATATTTCTCCACTCCATAATTGCCCGGAAAACGATAATGAGGATCTCTCAATGCATCCTCGCTGTGCACCTTGACGCGTTTAATCATGAAACTGATGTTATCCGGCCGCCCATCTTGATTGAAATCTGAAAAGAGACATAATGTTCAAACACTAGTTGTTTCTTTAATTGCATATTCATCAGAACTAAATAATTCACGTAAACTCGTGCATTATTCTAGTCCTGTTTCTTGCGCCTCACATTGACGATTCCCATGTGATTACCGTTCTCTGGTCCAAATAGAGTAATTCGCGTGTAATTTAGAACTCAGTGTGTGTTATACATAATGGAACAGTACGGTAATGAAAATACTGTATATACAAATAAGTAGATCAGTATATGTTTTACAATGATATCAAGTAATAAAACCATTTTATCGAAAGATTTTAAATTAATATTAATATCGTGAGAAACATTAAAAACATATCTCGTATTGATTACGAATAAAAAATGTTACATATATTTGTATTATAAAAATATGTACATACACATTTATTTTTCTTAATTATATTTTACTACTCGTTTAACAGTCACAAAATTACGCTGTATCCTCTTTGTGCGAAACAAAAATACGAGATTCAATATTTTTTAGAATTTCATTTTCCACTGGATGGAAATTAATTATATTATATATTTTACAATGTTTCTTGAATTAAATTGAATATTACTGGATTTAAGTAACATTAAACTGAGTTATTCACATGGATAATATTCGAAAACTGCATTTTACTTTACTTCCTCGTTATATGTTTGCTAATTATTTGCTTTTCAAACGGTTTTCACAAGTTTCATCTAATAATATTTCATCGCTTTTACTAGAGTGTGCCAAAACTATAAATGAAAAAAACAAAAAAAATTGACTTACACACGTACAATGACATACAAAGAAAACTAATTTATTACTTTCTTTCGTATTTTTTTCTGTGTAAACATAATGCTTAATTGCGCTCAATTAAAACATAAATAAATATAAATTTAAATATCAACAAATAAAACTCGAATAAATAATTCTTCCCCGTAATATCATCAACCACGGTAGAAATTGTAAAATTGCAGAAAATTTTCATAATTCCCGTAAAGTTTCCCTGGCATTCCTTAAAAGTCTCTGAATTTTTTTGCTTTTTTCCTCGCATCCTCGATATTCTCTGGTCATTTTAAATTAGATTTTCCTGACGTTTTTCACGTTTCCCTCAAGTAGTTTTCAATTTTCCCGACTTTTTTCCCCCCCCCCCTCGGTCTTCGCTACGTCCGTTTTCAAGACTCGTGGTGAAAATTGTTAGATCATCTCTCACCGTGCTCCGTGCGCGCGGTATATCGCCGCGAGGAAGAACACCCACCTGTGTGTTTGTAGATGGAGTTGACTCTTTGCACGTGCCTCGTCATCACCTCGATACAAGCTTCCTCCGTGCCGTATCGCGCGAAAAACTGATGGTCGGCTTGCAAGTAGAGCATGCAGGTAGTTTTCCGGGGATCTACCGTCGCGCGCTTGTGTAGATGCCTCGCGATCCTATCTCTGCCGCTCACGCTGCGAACGGGAGCGAGAAATAAGGTCGCTTTTATTGTTCGATGAAAAACGCCATGTTCCTCACAGACTTCCAAACTCCTCCAAATTCTATTTTAACTTGTGCTTGGTTTGTCGACCGTGGCACATACGTTGCCGGTACTTCACTAATAATTGACACGAGAATTGACCCAGAAGAGAGACAAAGCTACTAGAATTTAGAGTAAACCGTCGTCTCTTCCGTGTTACTTATTGTCTTTCCCGTCATCAAATAAGTAACTTTAATCAATAACTTTTAATCAATTTCTTCTTTTCTCTCAGAAAAACAGAACACACGTTTCTTTAAATTAAAAAATAAAAAATTAATGTGAGGAGAAAGGACACATTGTAACATAAAGAAACATTTAAATATACGTCCAGTTTTTTTAAAAACGAAATTGATTATTTTTATTCTTTTGCTCTTTAAATAAATATTTGAAATTTTTTATACTGGTACGACCTAATTTAAACTTTCCTACGCTTTGAAAAATAGCGCAATGTATGATAAAATATATTTGCTTGCGTACATTAATCAGGAAAAAGATTCGAGATTTTTTTTTATTCGAAATGCAAAATACTTACGCGTCCGTGTACTCGACGTCATTATTCGTTTCTAACGTTAACACTCTCGCATTGTTTTCCCTGGAGTAGAGAGCAACGTGCTCGCCGAGCAGAGGCTCATAGAATGCCTGAGAATTGTTGTATCTATATCTAAAGGAACAGACATCGCGAAGTTTAAATTTACATTTAAAGTCCGCCATATGAAGACTGACATAGAACGCATAATATATGATAATCCCGGCCGGCGGGAATTTCCTCTACACGTGTCTAAATTATACCGCGTTTGCCAACAATATGCTCTTTTATCATTTTCTTCGCAAATGTATTTTCATAAAGTAGAAAATAGACGAGAGAACATAAGCACTTAAAAGAATATCTTAATAAGAGCGTAGCCATTTCATCAGTTATATTTATCATAAATAATACTTAAGTTAATTATAAAATATATACTGAGAAAAAATGCTGTTAATTCAATTAAAGTCTATATTACGAGCTGTCACTAACATAAGTAATTAATTCATGTATATTTTTATTGGCATAAAGGCTTCGATTATTGAAATAATAATTTATGCCTTTATGTCAATAAAAATGTACATGAATTAATCACTTAGGTTAGTGACAGCCCGTAATATAGACTTTAATGGAATCAACAGCATTTTTTATCAGTGTATGAATTATACAAGTATATATATATATAAAATATTTTACGAAAAATTGTCTCAATATGATCATAAAACAAAGTCTGTCGCATCCTAATGTTTAAAAACGACCTCAAATAAATTAAATGCATTCTAGAAAATTACTTTAAATATAAATGCATGCCTATCGACAAAAAAATTATATATTACCACAATTCAAGTTTTAAGTCTATCATATAAGATAAGACAAAAAATTCGCGAATAATCGCTTTGACATCATCGTTAAACTAAAAACGATAAAAGTAGACAGAAAACTATACATATTGGACGTATTCAGAGTGCATTTATAAAGATATTAACACATATTAGCATATAGTTCACGTTATATAACGCATTCTGAAATCTAAATATGATAATACGCCACTGTATCTAAATATGATTTGTTTCAAAAGTGCTTCAAATGTTCATATATTCACAAATTTGTTTTTAAATTTATCACAAGCATCAAATTTTTTCAAATATATTCTGTATTTTAGTAAATTTAATATTTTAATCAAGATTATTAAATTAATACAAATTTTATTTTCTTATTATATATAATAAAATTTTATAATATTCTTCAAAAAAAAAAAAAATAAATAAATTCTTTACTTGGAATACATAATAATGTTTTTTTTTTTTAATTTGTAATAAGTATATTTTAAGACTATTACCAAGAAAATATTCTTTGTTAAAAATAACCGTTTCTTACAAGCTAAACAAAAAGGTAAATTGTAATCACTTTTCTTAGCAATAGAATCGATATTTCTATATGGTTTGATAAAGAAAACGTTGTGCAAATAGCATAAAAAAATCTGTGAATTTTAAAACCCATTATACGATCCGGGAAGCGATTTATACTTTCGTCTCTACATCGATAATCATCGCTCAGAAATTCAAGAGCGCAAGATAGAACTCACCTATCGAAGGAATCGCGAAGAGATCTCTCTTGATGCAGCTGATGACTGGCACAGGGTAATGGATGTGGCGGGGTGGTAACATCGGAAGTACGATAAGCTATGCTGTGATAGGGCGGCGACGTGTCTTCATTTTTATTCAAATACCTGCTCGTTGGCTCGATGTAATACTCCTCGAATCTGGTCACGACACTGCCGTCGAAGAGACCATCTTGTGTAACGACACCCTGCACCACGGCGCTCTCGTCCTCTGGAAAAGGAACAGAATGTGATGCCGGTTAATAAAGACCCAGTAATCGAATTTATCGAGAGAAAAGGGATCATTTGCATCATATAGATTCAATTATCATATTAGTGGCGACATTTAAGATCTTTCTCCATTACAGAATATTTAAACTCGTGAATACTAATTAATAATATATACAAATACACAATATTGTATATGGGTAATATAATCTATATATAATTATATACAATAATTACATAATGTAATTAAAATTTAATTTTTATGTATCAAACCGTTATAAATAATAATTATATCAATAATTATACTTTCACATTTTTTGTTTAAAACTCGATCCCCATTTAATTAATTATTTGTTTTATATGATTTTACAAAATTTGTAAAACATAAAAAAAATTTTTTTTAATATTTGTAATTCTTATTAATAATTTAATTCATTATAAATAAAATAACACATCAGTTTTTGTCATTACTCGTACGAGAGAGAAATCATTGACAATTCAAAATACGTTAATAGTATTTTTCCATGGCAATTTACCGTTTTTTAATAAGAGCTGAAGATTGCTAAACTTATTATTAATAATTTCTGCAGAGACAAATTCGCGTTGAATGTATGGTGATACAACCCCGCAGCTACCTTTTAAATCTGCGAAAATACGAGGACGAATCGTGGCGGCAGGAGACTCGTTCCCACGGTACATATAAAAGTCACCGTCGGGGTTAATTATATTTGTAGAAGCCTTCTCTGTGTCGTGCTTTCATTATTTCTTATGAAATTTTTGCGACTTCGCCCGAGTTAGCGAAGGTGCGAGGCGAGATGGTATGGTAACTTTTCGGACGGAATTAGAAAGGATTGCCGGGTATTTAGGATCCGGGGATGAGCCATAACTTCGTTTCGTTTCGCTTCGCGCCGTGCAAATTCCATCCAAGCGGTTCAACTTCCGGAACGAAACGACAGATTTCCGTGGAAAATTCTTGAAATCGAAATTTACCATCACGACAACGAACAAGAAATTCCTTTTATTTGCTTTATCGTTGTTGCTAATGTGTGACGTAGCTTTGCATAATTTCAGCATAAAACGTGTGCAAATCTTGTGCAAATAATATGGATTAATCGTGTGTAAGTAGACAGTCAAATAATATTATTAAATAATTAAGTTTCTAAAGTAAATCTAAACAGAAAACTCTAAGCAAATACATTAATCCCTTAATATATTGACATTTTATGTAAAATGTTTAAATTCCAAAATTTAAACATTTGAGTGCAAAGTTCAACTATTTACATTTTACTTTATTTTCTACTCCTCTCTCTCTCTCTCTCTCTCTCTCTCTCTCTCTCTCTCTCTCTATCTTTCTCTATTTTTACAATAAAATGTGCACAGACTCGAGTACAATAATAACAGAAAGATTGGAATTTGTCTGGAAAAAGCAGTATGTACTGGAACTGTCGCTCAATGTGCGTGTACCCCACTTCAGGTACAATTTTGTAAAGACGTTGTAAATTGAGGGACGGCAGAGAAAGTTGAGTGGAAGACGCTCCGGAAAATCACGACCTCCGAGAATCGAGTCTCTTGGCTCGAAGCGAGTTTTCCCGGGTAGAACGTGGGTAGATTCCAGGAATTCCAATCGTCAATCATAGATATTCCAGACTATCGCTGGAGGAAAGATAAATCGACTAAAGTACTATCGCAAAGTCGGAGAAATTTACGGCCGTGTGTTACTTCCTACAAGTAATTGTTTGGATCCCTTTCGTTGTTGGCGCGCGGTCGATCCGTAAGTTCACCCTTCATGGTAATCGATACCCTATCCGATAAAAGGAACAATCAGCAGAAAGGTTTTATATCGCGGAGCAATTTAGCTGCCGTTGGCAAAAGGGAGTAGTTTGCACATAAATAAAAACATGTCTGATGTTACAAGAAGCTAATTTATTATTTAAGCGTATCATTTTTTAAATTATTTTTTTTTTTTTAGAAGAACTTGCAACTTTCAGAACTTGAAATTACAAATTGAAAATACCGATTTTTATCAAGAAAATTTAAAATATATTTCGATAAAATGTAACCCTTCGTTGGCACACTTGTTTTTTCGATCGCTTTTTGATACACTGGATGGCTCACACCCAGAGCAATGTTTAAACAACTGACATTCTTATTTAAAAAATCCAATCAATATGAAAAAAAATTATGGGTCAATTTCAAGGGCTGTAGAATACATTCAAATAGTTTTTGATTGAAATTTCATTATAGTTTTTGTAAAAAAAATTCTTGAGTTCAATGAAAACAAAATAAAATCTTTGAAAAATTGTACTTTTAAAAAATTCAATATTAAAAGTTAAAAATTTACAGAATTGTTCAAATATGATACTTGGGAAAAAAATGAGTTTGTAAGTTGGTTTTGGATAAAGGGTATTTATTTTGCATATTAAATGTAGGCTGTTTTGGGAATTAAAAAAACAGAATTTTCTTTATAAACATTGTATTTTTGTTCTACAATATAAAATAAAAGACAATTGAGTTTCAGAGATGAAAATAATTTTGTGGGTGATTCACACCCAGTATGTCAACGAAGGATTAATTCAAATAAAAAATAAGAATATAAAATTAAACATAAAGTGAAAAACGTATAAGTAAAGATATTATCCTACATGACGTTGATAAAATTTTACAATGCATATATTTGAAAACAATCTCTTCCTTTATACGAATTTAAACATGAAATGTGATTGTATGTCAATTACTTTATGTTTAAAATATAATATCAAAATTAAATATAGTATCGAGACTATATTTCAATTATTAAAAGAATCACCGATAAAAAATTAAATCACGAAAAAATGACATAAAAGTTTCACCGAGTGAAAATTAAATAAAAATTT